CTACAGGAAGCCCGAGGCAGAGTTGCTCTGCCCCAGGCTTCCTGGAATCAGCCGCTGATCAGTTTCAGCAGCAGCTGACTTGGGGACGCCTGGGTTTCTTAAGTTGAATCTGTATGTAAGTCAGAACTGGCATCCAGATTCAGCCGCTGTTTAAACTGATCAGTTTCAGCAGCGGCTGACGCCAGTTCCGACTTACATACAGATTCAACTTAAGAACAAACCTACAGTCCCTATCTTGTACGTAACCCGGGGACTGCCTGTACATCCATTCCACACTAAAGTCATTGACACTTATAGGAACTGATGCATTATAAGTCCTCCCATTCCCCACTCTTAAGTTGTATGCAAAAAAAAAACAAAAAAAACACCACACCCACTATTTGCACAAATGGAAGTCAGACATGGGGAAAAAATTCCCCACTTTAAGTTATTTTGCTATAAGTCCAAGTTTTTTTAAACATATTGTAGACTTATAGCTAGGGTGGCCTGTACAGTTTCTTTTCTGATAACAGGGCTGCCACACCAACTACTACCCTAAAAGGATGCCTCAGACACCCCCAAAAAAGATTTTCCCTTTTTAATTTTCTTTGGGAGCGAGGAGGGGAAAAAAATGAGAATTTGATTTTCTTACCCAGTATAGATTGGGTGAAGCAAGGGGTTGGTTTTATACAATGACTGCACGATTTATTATTTACATAGCCCAAAAGGATACTTAACATTTTAAAGCACCTGACTCTGAGGAAATGGAAGGGGAGGGGGAGAACAGTCTCTCCCTCCCTCCCCTGCCTATCACCACTATAGATCTTAAATTCACAAAATTCTATCATGTGTTTATGTTGGCACACCATCAGCATGCCCGCTGTGAGGCAGGGATCCCTGTTCTACAAATGACAAATATCCCTCTTTTAGGGTATGTCTGCACTACCAAGTTTTGTAGACAAAACTTATGTTGACACAAAAGTTGACAAAACAAATATTGCTAAAGGATGTTCATACTTGCTCCCTCTGTTAACAGATCATGTCTAGATCATCAACAGTGAGAGCAATACATATGGGTATGTATCCTACATGCAGTGTTGTGGAAAGGCAGAACTGGGATTCCCTCAAAGTTCTCCCACAATCCCCTTAGCTGCTGGGAGCTGCATCAAGAATAAACTTTGTAATCTCTCTGTGCTGAGGAATGTCAAAGCAGCACTATAGTCTCCATCCCCGCCATGCAGCAGCAGTCTGCCTGCTGCTGCATTCTTAGTGCAGGGCAGAACAGGAACATTCCAATAGTTTTCTCTTTGTTTCCCAAACAGCAGCACTTTCAGATGTCAAATACTTTGAAAGGGGAGGGATGCATGCCTGCAGGGGAGCAGCGATCTAAACATTGAGCAGAGCACCAGTTCTGTCTGACAACGCAAACACCAGTGTCTATACTGGTTCTTCGTCAACAATAAAGGAAGGGGAAAAAGAAAAAAGTTTTCCATAGGAGTAAAAGGCTTTTGTAATGGAAACTGGGCATTTTTCCTGACAAAACTGCACTCACAGTTTTGTCACCAAAAGGCAGTTTTTGTCAACAAAACTCAGTAGTGTAGAATTTGCACTGCTGCTAATCAGAAACGCTAACCCTGATTCTTTTCAGAATTGATGCTACCAATGTCAATTCAACAGCAGACACATTTTCCTGCCCCTCCTCCTCCCTTGTAGAGAAGAGAAAAAGCATTTTTTGCTTACTTCATATTTGGAGCAAAGTACAAATGTTCGGTCTCCTCCACAGAAGATGTGTTTAACAATGTGATACTTAAAGGCATCTGTTGAAGAAAGAGATATAAAGCGTTACTGATCCATTAACAAAAGCTTCCTTCTTCTTTCAACTCTGCACCTTTATTCCCTAAGACCTTCTGTACCCTCAACTCTGACAAAGGTCAAGGGCAGCACCTTGCTAGCAGATGCTCAGAACTTGGAGCTTTAAAATAAAAGGGTGCATGAAGACTTAATTTTTGTATCACAGAAGAAACACCATGATGCAGAGTAGGACAAGAGAGACTTTGCGATGAGTCATAATTAAATGCAATTGACAATCCCAACAACCATGTGGGGAAAAGTTTATATTCAGATCCTACAACTTGAGTCAGACAAATGGTCCCAAGCACTTGTATAGAACCTACTGCAGGATCAGGGCCTCTATTTTTGCATCTTTTGCCAATGAAAAAGGCAATGATTAAAACTCTGATTTCAACAATGCAGGATTAATACACGAGTAACATAATATATGTATTCCAAGGTGTTTAACCCTGTTCTATCTATGTAATTCTGACAAAAATCAATATTGGTATTTACCATGAGGGCTATGTCTACACTGGCATGATTTTGCACAAGAACTCTTTTGAGGAAGAGTTCTTGTGCAAAAACTTTTCCAGAAGAGAGCGTCTACACTGGCGTGTGCCTTTGCACAAGAGATGTGCTTTTGCGCAAGAACATCCATGCCAGTGTAGACGCTCTCTTGCGCAAGAAAGCTCTGATGGCCATTTTAACCATAGGGCTTTCTTGCTCAAGAAATTCATGTTGCCTGTCTACACTGGCCTCTTGCGCAAGAACAATGGCGCAAGAGGGCTTATTCCTAAGTGGCGCAAGAACAATTGCGCAAGAGGGCTTATTCCTAAGTAGGCGCAAGAACTATGATGCCCAAGAAGCACTGATTTCATATATTAGAACGTCAGTGTTCTTGCGCAAGAACTCGTGGCCAGTATAGACAGGCAGCAAGTTTTGGCACAAAAACGGCCACTTTTGCGCAAGATTGCGCCAATGTAGACACAGCCAAGGGGTATGTCTACCCAGCCTTTTGCGCAAGATTGCGCCAATATAGAAACAGCCAAGGGGTATGTCTACCCTGAAGTCTTATTTTGGAATAACGTCAGTCTGAAATAACATTGTCTGTGTCTACACTACAATCAGTTATTTCGACATAATATCAAAATAACCTCAAGCTGGAGGATTTCTTACTCAGACCCCTGTAACCTTCATTATATGAGGAATAAGGGAAGTCAGAGGAAGAGTGCGCTCTCTCAAACTTCCTGCTGTGTAGATGGTGCCAAAAGCAGAAATAAGCTATTCTGACTTAAGCTACGCAACTGACATAGCTCAAGTTGCGTAGCTTATTTCAGCTTTAGCCCTGCTGTGTATATGTACCCTATCTGTCTTGGCCAAAGCTGTGACAATGTTCTCAATTCTTGTGAGCTGTGAATATCCCTAATGTCATGTTGATTTTTCACTTTTATGAGAATTTCTTATCTCCCAAGTAAAGCACACTCTTTAAATAGTGATACCTGAAATACAGGTTTTGCTTTATTTTTTAAAGTCCTTACAAATGTTCAATTTTCCCCCTCCTTTGTTAATATTTATAATATTTACAAAAACTGATTATAACGGGCAAACCAAGAAAACTGACTACACAAAATGCTGTTTAATGGACAGAGTAATTATAGCTTTAAACCAGAGGAAAAATATAATTTAATTAACTTCTCTTTCAGCTTTTGTAGTCTTTTGGTACTTGCAGTTAGTTTTCAGACAGAAATATGATTTTCAAATTGATGATCTCTGTTTAAATAAAATCCTGATACAGATAGCTGACAATCAAATATGTTAAGTATGATAAAGAAAATCTAGTATTACTTTAATGCTAGGAGTGAGTGAATATAAGCGCTAATCATGAGTATTCTGAGATGGCAGGGGACAGGTCCACGTTAGTCAGGAAAAGGTTTTATACCTTGATTTTCAGAAATCAAATCTGAAACTATATCCAACTGTTCTTGGTTCAAATGTTATGAGTTTACTTCAAAGTTCATTTGTGACCACACTTATGTTCGCTCCAATAGAAGAGCACACTTGACCAAATGTATGAACTAGGGGCCTGACCCAAAGGCCTTTGAAATCAATGGGAACCCTGACACTGACTTCATTGAGTTTTGGATCAGGGCTTACAATAAGAAAGATCCATCTCCTAGTCATGTTTTACCAACTAAATATTTACTTTTGAATATTCAAATAAAAGATGTAAATTATTTTGTAATATTGGTATAAAGAAAGCCAGCATGTTCTCTATGGAGAGAAAAGTCCTCATTCCCTAATTATGATGGAATGTTTTCCCAGCAGTCAGCCACTGCACAATTCATCAATGTTTCAATGTGCTCAGTGATATCATGCAGAAAATGAGAAAGGAACAAGCTAATTCTCAGGGCTCTCCCCACTTATGTTTTTTTGTTGTTTGCAGTCAAATGCAAAATGTCTTCAGATCATTTCAGCTGCGATTGTCTCTTTGATGCACTAATACGGTGTGTCACACACAGAAACAGAACACTTACCAGCTCGACCTAAGAGCTGCCCATTGTGAGCCGCCCAGTGACCTTTCACTGGAGATGGGCATTTAACATTGCATGTGTGTCCGGTTCCCAGCTGGCCTTCTGTTCCGCAGCCAAAGGCATAGATCAGTCCTGAAGAAGGCACAAAGGCCAGAGTGTGCTGTCTGCAATGAAGAGAGCTATATTTGTACCATGTTTAAATAATATTTGTAAAGAAGACTAAAAACTAACCATGAAAACTATGAGCCAAAACCTCAGCTGGAATAAATCAGCATTTACATAAAATAGCAGATTGCTGATTTGCACCAAAACAGAAGCATTCAGCCATAATAAAGTGCAACAAGAACTCCCTATGCTAATATGAAGAATGTGGACACACCTGGAGCCCTATGCATAGGTTGGTGTGCAAACATACTCACCATCCTCTTAAGCATTCCATAAATGTAATGTTTGCTTGTGTTGGCCTATCCATTTTCAAAGGTCTGTCCACCTCACAAGCTTTAGCCCTTACTTACTCTCTCTTTCTATGACCAAGGCTGGAAATAGGGTGAGGAGAATGCAGCTAAGACTGACTTTGAGGCCAGACAGAACCATCATGATCATCTAGTCGGACCTGCACATTGTAGGCCACACAACCTCACTAACCTTCTCCTGTTACAGGGCCATAATAATTGGCCATAGTTACAGAAGACTTCAAATTCTGATTTAGATGCTTCAAGTTACAGAGAATCCACCATCTATTCTGGTAGAAACCAGTAAGTGACCTGTGCCCCACTTGCAAAAATCACATGGTCTCTGGCAAACTGACCCGGAGAAAATTCCTTCCTGGCCCCAAATATGGTGAGTGGACACCTGGGAAAAAGTTCTCTGTAGTAATTCAGGGGGGGCCTTCCTCACTCATGTCCCATCTCTGGCCATTGGTGAATGGGCCATATGCCATTGTAGGCAAACGCATCTCACCATCCCTTCCATAAACTAATCAAGCTCAGTCCTAAAACCAGTTAGAATTTTTGCCTCCACTACTCCCTTTGGAAGGTTGTTCCAGAACTTTACTCTTCTGTTGACTAGAAACCTTTGCCTAATGTCAAGCCTAAACATACCAATGGCCAGTTTATATCCATTTGTTCTTGTGCCAATATTGGCCCTTAAATAACTTGTCTACCTCTATGGTGTTCACCTTCAGATGTTTTTAGAGACTGAATTCATACATCCCCTCAGCCTCAGTTTTTTAGGAACAAATAAAAAATAACAAATAGTCTGGTAGCACTTTAAAGGCTAACAAAACATGTAGATCAGTGGTCTCCAACCTTTTTACACCCAAGATCACTTTTTAAATCTCCAAACAGGCGAAGATCTACCGTCCCGCCCCTTCCTTGAAGCCCCGCCCTCTCTATTCTCCTCCTGTCCATCACTTGCTATCCCCAGCCCTTATTTACACACACTGATAAACAGTTTATTTTAAATTATGTGATGTATAAAATTAAAATCATGTGTTTATAGTTATGAAATAAATGGTCTGTTTTTTATTCATGCTATTTAAATCTAAAATGAAGCATTTATAATTATACATTTTGT